AGCAATTCTGGGCCTCACTTTCGTTTCTACGTGCTGAATGCAAAACTCTAGCTACACTTAGCAACTTCCTCAAATTCACGCCCCCCCCCCCTGGCTAAATATTTTGCATTTTTGTCGCCCAAAGCAACCTGACAGTTTGCGCGAAAGATCAGGCCGCTCTTTTCCTTAACTAAATGGAATTCAATAAATTGTTCCGGTTGAAAAAATCTTCCCCATGACAACTGAAAGAGAACTGAAACTAAAAGGAGCGTCAAATCTGGACCTGTTCTGAACGTTGGTGCTGAGTTTATCCAGATTCGGCTCACGGATTTTATTGTTAGGAGTTGTTCTCGATGACGATTTGTTCAATACCGATTGCTTGCCGATCGTTGTTGCGCCTGATATAGCTTGTTTTAGGGCACTCTGATTCAATGAATTTTCCTCGTCACTTTTTCCAAGTGTGGGTCCTACAATATGGCGTTTATTTTTAAATCTCTTAGGAATTCCAAAAGAATCTGAAACACTGAGCACTGTCTTAAACAACGAATGGAAAATAAAACAACAGGTAAGGTATAGCAGAAACAGAAGTATTTTGATATCAGGCGCTTAGAGAGCGCAGCGGAAACGGGGATGCAGAAAATATGATCAATTTCATAGAGGGTTTGTCACTCAATTCAATAGAAATGCTTAACACAACTAACCTTTCTCAATCCTCTCGATGCTTTGTTTAAGTTTCATTTCGATCAGCCTTGCCTTCTGCGCTTCCAGATCTGCTTTGCAATCTTGATCGCGATCTTTGCAAAATTTCAATGCACTCGTATTAACTTCTATCGCTTTATCAATGAGGCCACGACTACTCTGTATATCAGCTAGCCTCATATAATCTTGAATTTTCTTCTCGAACTGCTCATGCGACCTGAAAACACTCTCTGATTTGTGTAAACGCAGTCTTCGTTTACCTATCATTCCTTTCTTCACAAATTCATGGTAGGAGGTAAATCGAGTCAACAGGCACAAAAAAAAAACCCCGATAGAAGTCAGCCTAGAGAGTTCTACCAGGAAAAACAAGGGATGGAGATAACAAACTGGCCTAAAACAAAAAATCGATTGCTGAAACGCTATATGCACTTCAAAACACCAAAAAAACTGGAAAGCAAACGAGCGCAGTGAAGATAAAAAACCGTGCACTTTTTTGACCAGGAGTGACATGAAAGTCATGGAGGGAAGGGAGCGCTGCAGCGCGCCACCACAACAAAGAGAGGGAAACTGACAGGGT